ATCATCACTCCTTAACTTTACCTTAGTTTTCCTACTTACATAAGCATTCTTTACTTTTATTTGTTTGTTTTGGCCTTTATACAAACAAAAGGATACCACTTGTTCCCTTTCACATCTTGATTCTTTCATTCAGTCTTTGTCATATTCAATCGTATTGATGCCTATTCAATAAGTATTGCTATATAGCATTCCACTGTTTGAATATTCCATAATTTATTTGTTCATTCCACAGTTTCTGTACTGTTTGACTTCTCTTTCTCCTTAGAGTTAATCTTGCAGGTATAAACATTCTATTTGTATCAGGCTATGTAAGATGGAGTCTCTCTAGATACATACCAAGAAACGGTTCTGGCTTCCTGTCACTATCTTCACACTATTCCAGTCCTAATTATTGGTTTCAACACACATAGAAATGATCTTAACAAAGCTCAGGTTTCTGATTTTTAGACCTTTATCTCTTCAAAGATCTCATTCTTCAGCCTATCCTACCCATTTCCCTCTAAGGTCATATTACAGACCTCATCATTACCAGTAATTGCAGTTCTCCATAGTCCTCACTTTAATTGCATTCTTTGACCACCACTTTCCCTTCTTGGCTCATTCCCCTCAAGTTTCTTGATTTTGACAATAATCTTCAAATCTCCTGGAGACCTTATTCTATTTAGGTTACCACTTTTGTGGTGTTTTTCCCTTTTCTACTTGTTTTTTTAAGAGAGATTTTTTTCTATGGGGCAAATGTGCTCGCCAGAGAGACAGAGAGATTCAGAGAGGCAGAAAGAGAGAAATCACCCCCAGGGGAATGACCATGCCACAGTCCCTTCTCTTCTCTTCTCCTCTCAGGATTTGGGGCACACACACACACGTGCCAGTGTGTTTTAATCCACCAGGTCTGGGACTTAAACTGCCTTTGATTATGTGGGAGTCCAGAGACATAACCATTACACCATCTGCTGGTCCCTCCCCCTTTCTATTTATATAGTCATTTTTGTCCTGACCCTGCCTTAATTCCACACCAACTGTTTAGAATCACTTACTCGCATACGAACCAACTTTATTGCTGCTCTTTGCTACAACATACTTGCTTGGTAAAAACCATTCATGTTTAAAGTGTTGAAATTTTGTTTTCTACTCACTCATGCCTTTGAGTAAGACTGGAGTAAAACATATTCATACTGATTCGTCTCCCCTAAAATTTATGACCATAAGATAAAGATGTACTAAATGTTGTTTGATGACCATCTTATGTTCCCTGAATCCTTTCAACATTCCATTCTTTACCTATAATCATTCATTTTATTACTCTTTTTCTCTCTAACCAAACATCTATCACTTCCTTTCCCAATCTAAGCTAATTATCATTTTTTCCCATTTTAATAAAATAAATAGAATTAAACAAGGACACCACAGTACAACTCCCAGAAGCTCAGACCATCACATATATCCAACTCTTAAGATATCTTTATATCTGCTTTCTTTTCTATTACTAAAAAGTGCTAAAAAAAAAAAAAACCTTCTCTTACTCATTTGTTTTTTACTTCTCTTACTCATTTAAAAATATTTGCCAGTAATTCTTTTCTCTTTTCTGTATTGGTTTTTCCATATCTTTTGAAAGCTTAGGACTGTTATTACCTCAGACATAAAAATAAAATCAACAATAACAACAAAACATACAACCTTCCCTAGACTACACATCTATAGCAATTTTCCTTTATTTGCAATGAAACTCTATGCTCCCTGTCATGGATGTTTTCAATGCCTCTCACCTGCCAATCATGTCCTATGTAAATCAGAAATTCTTCCAACCACTCTTCCCAAACTGCTGTTGGGGAGGAAGCTACCAATGTGCCTCCTATACTAATTGTCCGTTCTTGGTCTTCATCATATTTGTCCTTTCAGCACCTTTTGACATACATGTTAATTACTCCTTGAAAATCGTTCTTTGCTTGGCTTACCGGAAGCCACATTTTGACTTTCTACTATCTCAGCTTTTCAGTTGCTCTTTCTGATTCAGTTTCATGGTCCTGATCGCTGAATGTCAAATGCTACAGGATTTCAGTATTTGGACTTTTTATTTTCTCCATCTATACTCTGTTAACAATCCCATCCAATGGTATGGTTTTTGTTTTGCTTTGTTTTTTTTTTTTTAGGTTTTTGCTTTGTGTGCTCACTGGAAAGAGACAGAGAGCTAGAGAGAAGGAAAGTGAGAAGTCACCCTCCAGGGAGGACGGCCATGCTATAATCCATTTTCTTCCCGGGATTTTGGGCACATGCACATAGGCAACTATGTGATTTTCAAACCACTGTGGCCACGTCTTAAACCATAATTGGCCATATGGAAATTCAGACTTTAACCCATGTCACCTATTAGCCACAAGGTCATGGTTTAAATAGCATTCATAAACTGAAGAGTCCCAGGTTTATAGCACCAACATTGTCCCTGATCTGGCCTTCACACTTATTGGTACAATTGTATTTTCTTTTTCTTTTTTAAATTTTGGTTATAGGGTAAAAACGTGTGCTCACTGGAGAGACACAGATATATATAGAGAGGAGAAGTGAAAAAGCACTCCCCAGATGGCCACGTTACAATTCTCTCTCTTCCATTCTCTTCTCAGGATTCTGGGCATGCATGCATACACTCAGCTTATTTTTTTTATTTTTATTTATTTATTTTTTTTACTCAGCTTATATTTTAAGCCACCTTACTGGGACTTGAATCACACAATTAGCCAAGTGAGACCCAGCCATAAGTTGTTGAAAAGACTATTCTTTTCTAAATTGCCTTCATACTTTTGTCAAAATACAATTGGCTATATACAAGGGGACTTCAAAAAGTTCATGAAAATATAGAATTAAAGTACACGTTTAGTTTGGTGTGAATTTTTTTGGCTATATCACAATTTGTTTATTAATTTATCAGTTGATGGACATTTGGGCGGCGTCAAGCTTTACTACAAATAAAGCTTCCGTGAACATTTGTTTGTAAGTTTTTATATCAACATATTTTTATTTGTCTTGTATAAATAACTTTTCTTTCCTTTTTAGGGAGAAAGAGAATGCAGTGAATGAGCTTGGGAGGGAGAGAGCAAGAGAAAGGTATTCTTTTTTTTTTTTTTTTTTTGATGCCAGAATGTTTGTATACTTGACAGAAAGAGAGAAAGAGAGAGGAGGAGAAAGCATCCTTTGTCCCCTTGTGGGGCAGGGTCATGCTGTAATCCATTCTCCTCCATCCCTCCTTCCTTTTAGTGGTGTAAAAAAAATGTAAATGTTTACATAGCTTTTCAGAGCATCATTTTCTGTGAACTTTTTGAAAATCCTCCACTTATATATTTGGGATTTTTATGGACTCTATAATTTGCTTTCCTATTAGCCCATCTTAATGCTAAAACCATACAGTGTTAATTAATATAACAGTATAACTGAGTAATAATATTTTCAAGTTAGGTAATAAAAGTCTTTCTGTTTACTTCTTTTGTTTTCAAATTTTTTAAATTTTGTTCTAAGTCCTTTAGATTTTCCCATGAATTTTAAAACCCCCTGTCAATTTCTACAATAAATAAATAAACCAACAAATAAAACAACAGAGATTTTGGCTTTGTTTTTGTTTGTACTGACTGTAAAAATGAATGTGGAGAAAACTGGTACCTTAACAACGCTGAGCCTCCCAATCTCTGAACTCAGTGAGCCTCTCTATTTATTTGAGCCTTTCAAAATTTTTTTTTCAGCAAAGTTTTATAGGTTTCAGGGCACAGGATTTGAGGTGTGTGTGTGTGTGTGTGCATGTGTGTGTGTGTGTGTGTGTGTGCATGTGTGTGTGTGTGCATATGTGTTTATTTATCTCTAAATGTTTCATGTTTTTTATTTTACTATAATTAAGTCATTTTTAGAATTCAATTTTGTTGTTTGTTTTGTATATATATATATATACACATATATTATCTTTAAAAGGCCACAGAAAAATGCATATTTAAAAGAACTACATGTGGATTTCAAAAAATCTTACACAAAAAATAAACAAATTTTTAATATACTTTTCCACAAAATTGTTGAAATTCCCTTATAGCAATAAAACTGATTTTATTAATTGTTTTAATGTGATAAAATATATTAACATAAAACTTTACCACCTTAAGCATTGCTGTGTTCAATTCTGTGGTATCGAGTGTGTTACTGTTTTACAACCATCACCACAGTCCATCTCCAGGACACTTCTCATCTTACAAAATGGAAACTGCACTCATTAAGCAGTAACTCCATTTCCCCTCTTCCTATCCTCTGATAAATATCATTCTACTTCCTCTCTAGGATCTTGACAGTTCTAGATCTCTTATATAAATGAAACCAAACAATGTTTATCTTTTTGTAATTGGCTTTTCTCATTGTACATATCTTTAAGGTTGGTTCATGTTGGCATGCATCAATAATTCCTTCCTATTGAAGGCTGAATAAAATATATATATGACATTGTGTTTAATTATTCCTTTTGGGGGGGCATTTATATAGCTTCTAAGTTTTAGCTACTGTGAATGATACTGCTATGAGCATGGATATATGACTATCTCTTAGTTTCCCTGCTTTCTATTTGTTTGTATATATTTATATATACAAACTGCTGGATCACATGGTAAACACATTATAATATTTTTAAGGTACTGTGATACTGTTTTCCATAGCAGTTGTACTATTTTAAAATCCCACCAATAGTTCATTAAAAGTTATAATTTCTCCATATTTATCCCAGCAATTTTTATTTTTTGTTTTGTTTGTTGTTTACCAGAAGGCACATGCTCTTGCTATGGAGACACAGGCAGAGAAAGAAGGAAAGTGAGAAATCAATCCCCATGGGGCATGGTCACGCCACAGTGCCATCTCCTTCATTTCCCTCTTTTAGAGATTTTTGGGATACATGCACCTGGTCAAGCTCCTGGGTCTGGGACTGGAACTGTGCATTCAGCCATGTGGAATCAAACTGCCTTAATCACCAAGTCACCAGCTGACCCCAAATTATGGAATACTTCACAAATGTATGTGTCATCCTTGTGCAGGGGGCATGCTAGTCTTCTCTGAATCATTCCAATTTTAGTCTATGTGTGGTGATGCAAGCTGTGTTTTGTTTTGTGTTGTTTTTAGGAAGGGGAGAGGTTGATAGTAGCCATCCTAATGGATGTAAAATGGTATCTCATTGTGGTTTTCATTTGCATTTTTCTAATGATTCATTAGAGCAGTTTTTCATGGGCTCACTGACCACTCGTATATCTCTGACAAAATGTCATTCTAGTTCTTTGCTCATTTTTAAAAAATTTTATCACATTGGTAGTTTGCTATTTTAGAATTGGTTACCTAGAATAGGGGTTGGCTTTTGTCCCTATAGAAATGATCCTGTGGCTTTTCATTTTTAGTCTGTTAATATGATGACTTACATGGATTGATTTATTTAAATGGTTTTTTGTTTGTCTTTGTTGTTGTTGTTGTTTTATGTTTAACCAACTTCCTGGGATAAATCCTACTTGATCATGATTTATTATGCATTTTTTGTTACATTTGGATTCAATCTACTAAAATTCCGTTCAGAGTTTTTGCACCTACATTGATGAGGTCAGTAGCTTTCCCCCTACCACCTTAGAACATCCTTGGTTTTGTTTCAGGTTAGTGCTAGTCTCATAGTTTTAGTCTCTAGATGATCAATTTGACTTTTAAAAAATATTTTCTATGTCTCTGCTTACCATCCTCAGCCTTTCTTCCAGCTTTTTGAACATATGGAATACAACTTTGGTCATATATTGTTTTGATGGCCTATCATCACTGTCATTTCTGCATCTAGTTCTACTGATAGATTTTTTTTCTCTTCAATATGGGCCATATTTTCCTGCTTTTTTACATTCCTAGTATTTATCATTGTATGTCAGGCATTGTAAATTTTAACTTATTGGGTGCTATATGTATTATTTTATTCCTATGATAGTCTTGACCATTGTTCTGGAATGCAGGTAAATTACAGGAAAACAGCTCATTTCTTTTGAGGTATTATTGTATTCCTTATTAGGTGGGATCAGGAAGCCTTTAGTTTAGTGAAATTTTGCTCCACTACTGAGGCGATACCTTTTTTTTCTTAAGAGATTTTTGCGTTATGTGCCCTGAGTGATTTTTCAAGCCACAAGGTCGAGGACTCAAACTACAGTTTGGCTACATGGGAGTCCAGTGACAAAACCACCAAGCCATCTGCTGACCCTGGCAATGCCTTTTTGAAACCCTAGCTGATACTATGGTTCATGAATTTTTTCACTCTGGGTATTAGAAACTCACCCTATTCCTGACCCTATGTTAGCTTCACAGATTGTTTCCTCTGCTTCTCTTGGTTAATCTTTGCCTTCCCCTGTGTAGTATTCTCCCACAAATGAGCCCAACTGGAAACGAGAGGTGTTCCTATAGATCTTTGGCCCCTCTCTATGAACTACTCTTCTCCTTCAGGACTTTGCACCATGGATTCCAGCCATACGGGCCTCCCTGGAATCCTAGCCTTGTCTCTCTCCATCCAGGGATCACTGACCACTACTTGAGTCCTACTGTCCAGCCTTGTAACCTGGACACTAACCCCATGAAGATACTCCATTTGTTTTTCTGTCTCAGGGATCATTTTTAAATTATTTTATGAATATTCGGTGTTCAGATATTCTGCTCAGTTTTTAAGTTGTTTCAGGCAACCAAGATGAATTTGGTTTCTAATACTTCATCTTTGCAGAAAATAATAATTATTTAATATTAATGATTTAATATTAAGTTTATTCTAGGACTCTTCATTTCCCACTCCTAACTGAAGCCTCCATTTTAATATTATTTTCTTCATCTATGTGTTTTTTCAGACACACAGATGTTCTCCGCAGCTTGACACCTAATACACAAGTACAAGTGGCTTGGATATAGTCTGTGTTTCCATGAGAGGCCATTCTCCCAGGAGCATCATTGCTGATTTGCTTCCTCTAGAATTGCCCTTAGAGCAGCCTCACTTGCATGACATTGTCCTTAACCACCCCTCCCCCCCAGGTCAATAGAGTCAATTTCAGCAGTACCATCAGCATAATTTGTCTTACTAATCATGGTCTGTGTTTTAGAAAAGGGCAGCAGCTCACCAGGGCTGGTAATATTTTCACAGTTTTATGTTTGCACAATTAGTGCAGTTTTAATTCTTTTTCTCTCTTCTTTCTGAGCTACAAGTTAAAAATAATCTATTAAAATGAGAAGTATGTATACATATTAAACATTTAAGGGGACTTTAAGGAGTTCATAGGAAACATGAAATTAAAGTACAAGTTCATTTTGGTGCAAAAATATTGAAATCCATGCACAGTTTTATTTTTTAATAATATGCATTTTTCATAAACCTTTTGAAGACCCCTTGTATCTTTTACTTTCTTGCGTTTACATCTTGGATCAACATGGAAACAAGCATGGAGTCTATAGTTAAAAGTGTTGTAGGTCCCTGGGCAAATATCTATATTTTTATTATAATTTGTCAGCTTTTCTATTTAAGAGTCAACTAATAGTCATATGAGCTTTTGGACTTACATTGAAAGTGGATAATTCTAGAAAAGAGATTTTTTTTTAAAGTCTCATTGTTGTATTTCTTCTTGCCAGTGAAGGTGAACTTATTTTGAAACGAATTAGTAGTCCGCTGCCATTGAACATGCGTACCTGCTCTGTTAATCATCCTTCCCAAGTCTAGCAGCATTCTGGCAATACCATTGTTGAGGATGAGAAATCGTAAGTCATCTACTTTGATGGCTTCACAGCTTTAATAAATGTGATGTGTCAGCTACTTCATTTCTGAGGGATTTTTTTTTCCCTCCTATAATTTTTCTCAGAAGGAATCAAGTTATAAAAGAACCTTCTTTCATGCAAATGAATTGCACGTTTTAGTTCAGGTTGCCTCGCTAAATTTTACACTTAATAAATAATAAATGAAGATACTAGAATGAAGACGTGTGAAAGAGATAGCCTTTTCCTCCAAGAGAGAGATTTTTGCTGCAAGAACTGAGCTAAGTTTCATGCAGATGGCTAGGACTCTAAAACATAATAATGTGATTTGGTTTAGGAAATAATCTATATAATAAATACACCCAATGTCATTTTCCTTTTCAGTAATGGCTCTATTTAGTTCATTTTAAATGGAATGACTAATTACCAAATGTAAAACACACTATCTGCCTTCAGAGACAGAACACAGAATTCTCATACTTTTTACCCATTAATGTACTAGCCTTTATTTCAAGACAACTGTTAGCTATTTAAACAGTGTGTAGTATTTAGTTAATAGTACTAAACAAGAGCATGTAAAAGAGAAAAAGGACATCACTCTTTCTAAACCAGCCTTAGTCTGAATACTCTTTAGAATGAAAATGTGTGTTTTGTACGTATTAAATAAAAACAAAATTACTAAAATGGCACTGTTTCACTTGAATATCCGGTAAATTCTCACAAAGATGATTGGTTATTTCACTGATTTGATACAACTCTCTTACCAGTAATATTTTTCTTTATAAAAGCAATCAACTGAGTTAAATGGATAGCTCCATCTTCAATCATTTGCCCTTTGAAGTTTCCAGATGCTGCTTCCAAATGATGCCAATGAAGACTTGCAGTGTATTTAAAGCATCTTCTTTTTCTAAGAATGTCTCTGATATGATGAGTGAAGAGGAGTAGAAAAACCAGTAGTTTTAATTCCCCTTTGATGGAGTGTTAGAAAGTGGTGAATCGCAGGTCACTTCAATAGTTTTCCATCTGACTTGATTACAAATTTCAGGAATTGATCTTATGCAGGTTTTTGTATTTTTTTCTCTAAAGTTTCTTTTTCTTTCATGCAAGAGAGGAAAAGAGAGGCACCCCATCAAGGTCTTTACACCCCCAACTTCAGCCAGCCAGGATCACAGGCTTGTACAGCTGTCCTTCACCTGGGGGAGACCTTAGGATGGGAATCCTGGACTGTCCTCCATGGCCTCAGCAGAACAGAGCATTGTTACCACTGCCCCACTGCAGTTGGCCTGGTCTTAAGTCTTTTTCATAATTTGTTGCTTGAAACTTGGCTAAGTTACTTTATTTAAATTTCTTTCATGATTTCTTTCGAGTCCCTTGTATTAAAGAACCAAAAGCTAAAATTCTGGTGACATTGATAGAGTTTGTGGTGGTTTTCATGACTTATATAGCAACTAACCATAAGCAACATTATTTAAAACAATGGAAGTGTATTCTCTTACAATTCTGAAAGCTAGAAATCTAAAATTAAGGTGTCAGCAGCATCATGCTTCCTCTGAGACTCAGGGAGTGTTCTTCCTGGCCTCTTCCTTTGGAATAACTGCATCACCCCAATCTCAGCTTCCATAATCACATACATCGTGGCTTTCCTAACAACCCAGTATTTAGTCTCAAATTCAGTCTTATAGGTTTAGAAAACTGAACTGTAGTGCTAGAAGCCACATGGTTAACCATAGTTTTGATCCTGAGTTGACCTGAAAGTACACAGAGTACATGCACACATGCCCAAGAGAATTGCAGTGTGATGTGATCCTGTTAAAAGCACATGTCTCCTTCCCTTACTTATTTCCTTCCTTTTTTTTCTTTTTTTTTTTTTTTTTTTTAAGAGGTTTTTGCTATAGGGCGCATGTGCTCACCAGAAAGACAGAGGGAGACAGAGAGACAAAAAGTGAGAAATCACCTCCTGGGGGATGGCCATTCTGCAATCCCTTCTCCTCCATTCTCCTCTTGGGATCTTGGGCAAGTATGCACATGCGCCCGGTGTGAGTTTAAGCCACTGGGTCCGGAACTCAAACTGTGGTTAACTACATGGGAGTCTAGCGACATAGCCATTACTCCAACTGCTGGTCCCTCCTTCTTTCTTTCTTTATTCCTTTCTCTTTCTTCCTTAATTTTTCTCTTTCTCTCATCTCCCTTGCTTATACATGAATAAAACAAATAAAATTTTTAAAAAACTATTTAACAGGCTTATCTCTACCTAACTTTTGTCTTTTATTAACAGTGTAGGGATAGAATGTTTCACTGATTTGATCTGAGTTTACAGTTATATGAAATATCCTCATATTTGGTTGATATTCA